TTGCTACTTTCATTCATTTTTATCTCTTTTGGAAACGTGGTCAGGAGTGGTTGTTATGTTCACATCGCGGCAATCGGTCCAGGACATCCCACCTCGCCGTGCGTTGTAATTGGTCCTGAAGGTACACCTGGCGCGCGCATGCATCTCCGTGTAGATTGATGATTGATATGTGGGGTTTCAACGTCCCAAACCACCATATGATTATGAGAGACGCCGTAGTGAAGGGCTCCGGAAATTTCGACCACCTGGGGTCTTTAACGTGCACCCAAATCTGGTTACACGGGCCTATAACATTTCCGCCTCCATCGTAAATGCAGCCGCGCAGCCGGGATTTGAACCCGCGACCTGCGCTCAGTAGCCAAGTACCTTAGCCACTAGACCACCGCGGCGGGCTGCATCTCCGCGGTAATGAAAACCGGCGGGAAATTTCATTTAGAACTATGAAATACAGGAGAAAAGAAAATATTGGCTGAAGCGACAATGAGATATCGGTACCACATAAAACATAAAACCGTAAGACGACACGCTGAATTGCGCATCTTCCTTGCGCTCTTCCGGGTTAATTTTCTGTTTTAGTTTATTATTATTATTATTATTATTATTATTATTATTATTATTATTATTATTATTATATTATTATTATTATTATTATTATTATTATTATTTACTGTAGGAAGAAACAAGAAAGTGTGTTTTTTGTTCTGATGAAAGCGATAAAGCTATCTCTATACGAAAAAAGATAGTAGACCGGCTCTAATAGTATACAGCGTATATGGTGCTCTGCTGCTGGCACGAGAGTCACGCTACAGTGAACTATAGTCACGTGTTTGCTCCCGGCCATGGCAGTCTCTAATAATTGAAGACATAATAACAGAGACCCGGATACTGTGCAATCGGTGCATGTTAGAGACCAACAGGCAGTCAGAATATTCTTATCCCTTCGCTATACAGCGTCTCTCATGATCATTTCGTGGTTTTTTTGGATATTAAGCCCCAGGTATTATTACCATATTTCAATTACTTCCCCTGTCACCACGTGTATAAGAATATTAAATAACGTTATTAAACGATCTGAAATGAGGGGGAACTTCAATTTAGCCAGCAGTTATCGTTTATGAGTGCTTCAACGCGCTTGCTTGACCCAACGTGGCTTACATTACGCTGCATGCGCTTTAGATGAGCACTGCGCGCCGTGTTTGTCAAACGACCGCATTCTTACGATTCTTTGTTTGCTTTCCACGCTGGTTCACCTCCCGCTCTTGAGCCTCGTATAACGACAGATGCGGGCGAGTTACGCGGGTAATGGACAGTGCTGTTTGCCCAGACTCGAAGTGAAGCCCCGAAAAAACCATGCCTCTCGTTGTAGGCGACCCAATGTCTGTCTCTGCTCGCACAGCTTGCCAGCAGCTCAGCCATTTCGGAGTATTCGACTATTCAAATCCAACCCAAGAGGTCACTGCTCCCGCGGTCTTGATCGTCGATCGAGGCAATCTATGTTGTATTGTTGGATTATCCTTCCAACTGCTTGCTTGTTTGCTCTCGATGGGCTCATCTGCTGCACGCTTACTTTTATTTCCGTATTCTTTTCATCTCCCTCATTCTCCCTCGTGTAGGGTAACAAACCAGCTGTTTTGCTTCTCGTTAACGTCTGTACTTCGCCTTGTCTCTGTCTTTTCCATAGGTAAATAAGATCATTTGTGCAATGTTGAGTTCAAAGTACAGGGCTAAAATGAAATCCAAGACCTGTATTCGCAAGACAATTTCACGTGGATTTTTGTTTTAAGAAAAAAAAAAGCAACCAGGAGTACTAGCGGACATACCATTATTCAGCGCACTCAACCGATGGCAAACGTCACTCACAAATTGAAAGCTTCTCGAATGACACTCACGGAGGCCCAATCTGTAGCCCATTCTAACAAAGCATGTACACAGAAGGGAAAGCCTAACAGTCTTCGCTGTAATGTACAACAGTGCTATACTGTGCGATACTATATTATACCATACAAAACCTAGAGTAGATGTACTTTGAAAGAAGCCTTGCTAAGGTGGCAAATAGGTACAGCATATTCTTGTACTGCTTTAGGGTAAATCAGTTTGTGCACGAAGAAATGGCTCATAACCAAAGTGACTTATTGCCTTGATAACGTCTTTGCTTATATTCCTTTTCTTGGTGCTTGAACTGCGCTACGATAAACCAACAACAGACATTAGAATAAAAGTCATTACGCCCGTTCAGCGCAATGCTAAACGGCGTGCCGAATATAAACAAACACGGCCGAACTGGCGTTCACACTGCCAAATGGCTCCCATTCATATCGTATTTTCGCAGCCGCTTTCACCTGCTTTCAACTGTCGCCGACTGCAAAAGCCAACTGAAGCGAAACGCCAGTACAGGGCAACTAAGCCTGCGAAGCAGCTGTAACCATTCTTTGTATTTCTCATACACGCAAAACGCGCCAAATGTACACACATACAGGCCGCAGCTCTGCCCGGAGAGCGTGTGTGTTTGTGTGGTATAAGCGAAGAATACAAATCTGTGTTTGCCCCGTTGCTTCCGCCGTGCCAGCATTTCGGTATTAGCCGATATTTCACGGCGGAAGAAGATGCGCCCCTGTGCCTTCGTCCCGTTGTTTGTCAAGTTCCGGCTTCCGGCGCCGCCACTCGAACAGCCTCGTTTATTTCCGAAGGCGTGTTTCCGTTCCTCTCACCACTCCGCACCACAGTGAGGTGCCTACATTTCTCGATCTTCCTTCGCTGCTTATTTTGTGTTTCTTTTCTCGTGTTCCCATCGTTCGCTACTTTTTTTTTCTCACTCGCTTCGGCCTTCTTGCCTTCATCGCAGAATATTGCTTTCCTCGGAGCTGTGGCCTCAGTCTGAAGGCGAAATTTCTCATTTTGGTTTCCTGTATACGATGGTCGAATCGCAGAGGACTTCACTGGAACATTACCTTTTCTTGTTCGGGCTTTCTTTCTTGCTCCTGCCGAAGTATTCGCGTTCACTTTATACATCGTGGTTTCACCTACGCGCCTGCCTTTCATTCGCTTTTGTTTCATCTGTGCTATTCTTTATATTTTTTTCTTTCTTGTCTTTATTGTGAGAGCACTAGTCTTCTTTTAAGAGTGTGCACCGTCGTACGTCTTTACCTGTTCCGGCATTTTTTTCCCTTCTTTTTGTTCACGGTCTCACGCTCTCTCAGTTTCGCAATCTGCACACGCCGCCCCTCTCCCACTCACCCTGCGGTTTTTTTTTTTAATGCTGCTGCAAAGCGTTTTCTCGCCATTCCATTTCCGCAAATGGAGTTTCCTTTTTTCACTCGATGCATTTTCCCCTTCCTATCTCTGTTGTACCACCAAAGAACCTTTATTGCGCGCTACGTTCTTCATCGCTGAATTTTCATGTCCGAAAAACTTCCTGTAGCACCTCCTTTATGTCTACGACATGCTTTGTTGTTGTTGTTGTTGTTGCTGTTCCAACATGATTCACGCCAATCTGCCAACGTTAGCTCTCCGTAGTTTCAATTTCGTCTCATTTAACGTATTTGCTTAGGCATCGACTCATTTACTTGTACGCGATTTGGAAACTGCGAAAGAAGTTCACTGGTGTTTTAATAGCTAAATAGTTCAAACATGCAGCTACCAGTTTTTCTGCATTGGTGAAAAAGTCAAGTTATAGCAAGAAAATACATCGTTATTCGAAATAAGCTGGGCAGCTCATTCCTTAAGCAATCCACGTGGCGTAAAAACGCTGGCATCGCCAACAAGGCTACGCCTTTGCGAGCGACATACATCGCCACAGCTCACATTCACGATTTCGGACGTAGGCCTAGCTAGGACGACGATCTCGGTAGCACCGCTCGCTTTCCAACGTGAGTTCATTGTAGAGCGCGTCTTTTTGCCAACACGATAAATGATTGATTGATATGTTGGGTTTAACGTCCCAAAACCACCATATGAATATGAGAGACGCCGTAGTGGAGGGCTACAGAAGTTTAGAACACCTGGGGTTCTTTAACGTGCGCCCTAATCTGAACACACGGGCTTACAGCATTTCCGCCTCTATCGGAAATGCAGCCGCCGCTGCCGGAATTTGATCCCGCGAGCTGCGGGTCAGCAGCCGAGTACCTTAGCCACTAGACCACTGCGGCGGGGCCTGAACACGATAAAAACTTGTACATTCATACAAAACATTCATACGCGCAACTGGTCCCCTCAACGGCCTCGATGCTCTCATCGTTGCTCTTTAGCTAAGGTGGGAACTGAGACGGCTGGTGCCACTGTTTACCTACGAAATGAGCTTCCATCACGGCTTGATATCTCGTTCGTGGTTAAGAAATGGAGAGAGAGAAAAAAAAAGAGAGAGAGAAGAGAGAGAGAGAGAGAGAGAGAGAGAGAGAGAGAGAGAGAGAGAGAGAGAGAGAGAGAGAGAGAGAGAGAGAGAGAGAGAGAGAGAGAGAGAGAGAGAGAGAGAGAGAGAGAGAGGAAGGCCGGGAGGTTCCGAAATGGACGTCGTGTAGCAGGAACAGCACACTTCAATCATCACTTTATTCAATCATATCTTATTTCACGCCAGAAAGAGTTCAACCAATGTTTTTCCTGCCACCGGCGACGGTGATATCCACAAATACCAGAACCATCGGGGTTATCGGAGCCATTTGAGCGGTGAAGAATGAACTAGCGACGGTTGCCCACCAGTGGCGCCTCATCTCGCGCTCCCGCGCTGCCTTTGGCTGCGGCCGCCAGACTGGTGCGGTTGCCGCGCGGCTACATTTAGCAAGTTAGATGCCCGCGCGGAATCGTCGCCGCATGCTGTTGGAACCTGTTGGACGTCTGCTGAATGCAGCTGCTGGTACGAACAACCGTTTGGCACATTGCATCCGAATTAGTACCACGTGTCCAGCACTTCACTTGTAGGAAATGCAATACATAAGACATTGTCGCGGTGACGCTCCCTCTTTTCCTAACTGCTTCGATGTCACCCTGACTCACGCAGAGGTATTCAGCTCCCTCATGGTTCCCGAACCTGGAGTGAAGGAGACGCTGGGAAGCGGAGGCGTCGCCGCTATTTCACCGTCCAGGACAGATATCCACGTCACGGTCATGTTCAACGGAATATTCTCTCCGACAGGTAAGCCCGCAAGAGCCGCAATAATAACAAAAACGTGCAAGTTCAAGAAAAATTGCGTACACCTTCAGCTAAGAGAAAGTTCCACTAAACCTGGTTCCAAGGTACAATCATAATTCACGTCGAGCTTCTATTCAAGGAAAGAACTTTTTTTTGCTATTTTTTGGTGATGAGTTATTATTGCACTCTTCCTAGAACGTTTTGTTGACAGGTGGATACGACGAAGGCGTAGTAAGCATATGTGTAGTAATTGAAGCATATTTGTTACTACGTGGTGATGAAACAGTTTTCCGTCATGTGATGCTAAAATAAAGCAGGACCGCAAGCATTCATCCCTATTTCCGTCTGCAGTACACATTACTTAGTTCATGACTCATGATCCTCACTTCTTTACCGCTACATACGCCGGTCGATGACTAGAACGCAGTAACGATTATCCCCCAAGTTGTAATCAGAGCGTAAGAATATGGTAATATTAATAGAAAAATTGAGGCAGTTAAGCAGAATAATTGGTGAAACAAGAATGAGGACCTTACTCTGCAGTGGGCGCCATTAAGTTGCTGCTTCTGTTTCTGATAATGATGAATATGAAAAAGCGAAGGATTAGTTTGACTGTCCTACATTGCAGAGAAAATGGGGGAAGAAGGGATCATATTAGTTGTATGCGGAAAGCAGTGGTACAAGTCGGGACAAAAAAAAAGTAACACAGGCCACTGTGCCGAATTTCAGTTAGAGAATATTTACCTTAATATATGACGGACAGTGCTCTAAATATTTTCGCAGAGAAAATAGTCATCTTAAGACGCAGCTCATCGTTCTTCTTGGACTAATACACCGCGTCAAATTGTTAATGTGAAATGAGTAAAACAAGACAAAAGGCCAGAAGTAAACTCTATCTAGGGGTGCTTAAAGTGTTATATATTGCTACGGTTGACTTGTCCTGTTTTAGGTGCATCATCGCTTCCTGTTCTTTTTTTTTTCAGACGCCAGAGACGTGGTCGTCAAGCTAAGCCTCTTAGCTGGAAAGCCCACTGAGCCGACCGTGGTGGCCAGTTCTGAAATAACGCTGCCGAAAATCCACTTCGTAAGTTTACCGCTGTCCCTTGACATCACTCCCAACATATTTGTTGCCTCTGTCTGTTTTTAGCTGCTGTAGTTGTTCTGTTTCAACTTCATTCCTTAAATTTTAAAAATATCATGTGCCCTGACAATGGTTAAGCATTCGGCGATTGTCAGCATTTGCTATTGAAACCTGCAGTTTTGTTGTGGCGCTCTATTCTGCAAAGGCGAATACAAGTTGAAATACAAAGTTCTTTCTAGCATGGTCAACACAAGTAAGGGAAGGGGTGATGAGAATAAAGTAGACGTACTGATGGAAACTGAAAGTTTGTGAAACATAAGAAAACCATAAGTGCGCGTACGGTTCCCTATTAACACAGGAAAAGGGAGAGGGAGCAAAGCTTTAAAGTACGTATGACTGAACAGTCCCAATATGCAGAAAATTTGAAGTTAGTTTAGATTTAATCGTCTCTGAACCTCTGACGCCGATTGTGCATGCCGAATCCAAAAGAATTGCCGCAATACAGGACACTGTGTTACAATAATGAAAAATTAATACTTACGAAACGTTTTTTTTTCGTACCTCGCAGTCACTTAACACGGCCAGCGTGAAGCTGACCCTGGCTCCGGAGCAGCAGCCGCTGCTGGTTGCCGGCAAACTGAGCATGCGCCTGACGTCACCCGACGGAAGGCGTCACATCGAAGGACCCGTGATCGTGAGGCCGACCTGCAACAGTTGAGTGCAGCGCGCTTAGACGCCAATTTATTCAAGATTCCGTCAATGCACGCGACAAGTTAAAATTCGCGTCGTTGAGCGAATGCACCGAGAAAAGACGACGAGTGTTCTTTTTCGCCATTTGTTTCTCGCTCTTTAGTCTTTCAAGCTGTTCTGACAGCCGAGACGTCGAACTCCGGCTTTGCAGTGCTCAGCGTCAACCATGACGGATCAATATCATATCAGGTAAGTCTCACGGTTTAATAGCTGTTTTTTTACTTCACGTTTAGTTTCATTTGTCAGTTTACGTAAACTACAGGAAAACAATATCGAATCGCAAAAATCAGTTCGGTCTTGTAAACTACGCTTTCAAAATATTATTTCTATATCACATTTTGCGTAAGACAATAAGCCTGGGCCACTGTTAACAAAACTGCCCTTAGCTACAATATGTTTGAGAGGGAATATTTCAGTCAATTGGGAGGCTGAATATAACATTATAAAAGGCAGTTAAACCAACGGCAAAAAAAAAAAAACGCTTACGAAAGAAAGGCTTTGTAAACTGTTCTTTTGATTATCTCTCGATCACACTCTTATATCGCTTTCCTTCGAAAGTTCGTGTGTTTCTGGTAATTTATTTATTAAACAACACTTCTTATCGTCAAACGCTGTTGCGGTCTCACAAGCGGCCAGCAATGAAAATTTTTTTTTTTTGGTATATCAAAAGAAAACATGACAATGGAGTACACTCTTTTTTCAGACCCAAGAGGGTAATTTTGATGTATTCTTTATGGTACCGAAGTGCAAGTGAGCTTAAATGACGACGATGATACTGTAATTGATTATTATTATTATTATTATTATTATTATTATTATTATTATTATTATTATTATTATTATTATTATTATTATTATTATTATTATTATTATTGCAGGCGTACGCCTCCGGCATGAACAGTGCGCCCATGGTGGTCGTCCTGGAAACGGACAGCCCGGCGGACAACGAGGTCCGAACCATGGCTGCATCGTACAACCCGCCGTTCGCGTACCACTGGGTCAGTGCCTCGGGACCGCTCTCATTGCGCATAAATCTGCTTGCAGCAGTTGATCTGTTTTTGAAGCGTATTCCAGTGCGAGAAGAAACAAAATGGCCGTAATGGCGGCGCTGACCCGCTGACCCGTAGCCGGGATTCGATCCCACGACCTGCTGACCCGCAGGTCGCTGGATCGAATCCCGGCTGTGGTGGCTGCATTTCCGATGGAGGCGGAAATGTTGTAGGCCCGTGTGCTCAGATTTGGGTGCACGTTAAAAAACCTCAGGTGGTCGAAATTTCCAGAGCCCTCCACTACGGCATCTCTCATAATCATATGGTGTTTTTGGGACATTAAACCCCACATATCTATGGTATATTTCGTAAAGTTTTCACATAGAAGTGCAAGTCTTTTCATTGATGTTTCCTTCTGAAATCAATGTGCAGCAAACACATTATTTAGTGGCAGCATCCTTCCTGTCAATGTGTCGAGAATGTAACACTTTTACCCTGCGGGTGCAGGCGTCGTCCGCAACAGAACCTTTACGAGGCTTGATTATATACATTTTCTCTGCCAAATACTATAAAAGGAGTAGGGCGATGTGCTTTCTTTTCTCAATCATTACGTGACTATTTTGTAGCATTCCTGACTGCTGTGTTTCTCGATACGTTCTACTGGTAAGTGTATGCTTGATGGTATTCTGTGACCTTGCGCCAGGCTGCCTGTAAAATTGTAGTTCTAACTGCACGCATTACTGGCAATAATCAGAATGGCGGCTACGTTTTCAAATGATCAGAACGGAGGACGGAATGTCTCTTTTTTTGTGGCTTTCATAAAAACTTGCAGGGCCGCTTAGCATTCGCCTAAGACGAGATCGATGGTTAAAGCGGTCTTTTTTTCTAAGTCGATATATTCATTGATCGTTACCCGCAGAATTTCGAAAGCTTTTGGAACCTCACCTGTTTTTGACTGCCTTTGTCATCAGCGTACGTTCGACCAATCGACAATGTCACGCGAGGAAGTCATTACGTGATGTCACGTGATGTGACGGTGCAGTGGCGTCATAATGATACCGTTTATGCTCGTATCCTTTAACATCATAGCGACTTCATATAGTGACGTAATCACGTGATATTTTTTTTCATCACTCGTGTTGACGCTTAGGTCAATTTACACGTTTGATGTTGCGTATAAGGCTTCTTCCTAACAACATTTCATACTATCTTTTCAACTATTCTTTTGTGGTTCACTCAGTGTTGACCTCTTGCGAGGAGGTCGCGCTATTCTTAATGACATTTACTTGGCTGAATTAAAAGCAACTGAGTGGAATGTGCGCAATTGCTGCAAAGCAAAGAAGAAGAAAAGAAAGTATGTACACGAAAGGAAAACAGAATTTTTTTTTCATTTGGTTCCTCACTTTTTCACGTGAAATAAACTGGTCCTAACAGTAGGACGTGAATGAGCAACGCAGTTTGACAACAACATTTATGAATGCCCTTCACGCTATCTCTTCACAGACGAACGGCACATTCACCCGCGGGACTAGCCAGGTGCTCGAGATGTTGCTGACGGACGACTTGACCTTCAAGGTGCTTTCCGAAGGTCAGAGTGAACTGCGTGGCCGAGTGAAGCAGCGACTCTACTCGGACGCCTTTCTCAGTGGTGAGCACATTCGTACCCGTTTCGCAATGAATACGCGAACGCTATCTGGTTATGCAGCATCACCTATGTTCTCGTTGAAATGTATCTCGCTCTGATGAGACCCTCTCCACCTGTTGTCAAATTAGTCGTAATAATAATATTATTATTGTTAGGGTTTCATTCCCTCAAACAATGATATGATTATGAGGAATGCCGTAGTGGAGGTTTGGGAAGTTTCAACTACCTGGGTTTTTTTTAACGTGCACCTAAATTTAAGCATACAGGTTTCTAGCAAACGCATCCACCGCGAGGTGACTGCCGCGCCCGTTATGCGGGCCCGTGGCTGCCAAATTAGGCATGGATAAACATGAAACTTAAAAGTATGTGTGTGTTCATGTCCTATCTACGAGCCCAACAGTATGCATGGAATAAAAAAAAACTAGTGTATTACTGAAGATTTTGTTTTGGTAGCGGATGTAATCTGTTGAATTGCTAACGCTGTTTATGTTTGTTACCATATGCTCGAGAAAAAAAACAGCACTCTACAATACTCACACTTTTTCTTATCGTGCCCCGGTACAACAGGTCTTTAATCAGCTAATAATATGTTGAAAAAAAAACAGACGTATTTTTGATGATTATTGAGCAAAGCCCAGTGTAAGGAGGTAGCCGTCACCAAAAGATGGCGACAGCATCTTCATTTTGTAGTATTTATTAAAAAAAGGCATTATACAAAAAACGTTGAGAAGTTTTCATGGCACTTCAAGCTTGCGTTTCCGCGCTCTACTGTCTCTTCAAGCAGAGGCCCCTGTGCTGCTTATGTCTGAGGGTAACAGTTCGGCGGCGGGTCAAGCGTGGCTGTCGGTGGACAAGTCGTGCAGGCTTCACTACTCGGTCTTCGTCTCGGGACTCGAGCCCAGCGAAAGACATCTCCTCGAGCTCCTCGAGATCACACCAGCCTACAACGTGATGCAAAGCGCACGCAGCGTCCAGAGGGTTCTACAGAGGATCACCGGAGACGAGGTAAGGGATCGCATCAGCGAAGAAATACTGTTACCTCAAGTGGCAGGAAGGGGAAGATGAAAGCTTGCGATGAAAAAAAAAATAGCCGACGTTTTTCGAAAGTGTAATTGTCTAGCGTTGAAGTTCGGGCTTTGAAGAAGATAAGACTGTTTGTCGAAACTGCGGCTCCAGAACAAAAGCCTCTTCAAAAATTTTTGCTCCATTAAAGCGTTTTGAGATGTTCCTAGTAAAGAGTTAAGAAGATTCAGTAGAGTGCCATGTGACGTAGATGCATGCATTCGCCTTGCGAAACTACATCGAAAGGAGATTTCCCGACAAACAACCAAAATTGACATTGAACTTTAAAGCTAACTGAACTATGTTGCATTCGTCTCCATTTAAATGTTTTAGCCTATTGAACAGTTATACACTTGCATGACTGTATTCTGAGATGTAGTTTGGAATAAGCAGCATCGCATTCAGCCGAGTCGACTTTTTTGCCGGCTACCCCACGTCATAGGCTTCCTTACAACGTGGTAGGTTCCTCATTCCACGTCTTAGTGGTACTGCATACCTATACCGTACTGCGAATTTTGGTACAGCGAGAACAGTCTTACAGTCTCGGTGCAATCAGCTCTCCATTAATGCTCGCGCCTCACGGCTAGCACAGTGTCCCACTGCTATATGCGTTGCTGATTGTTCCCCACTAAAGTAAACATTGCAATAGAATACAGTATTTAAGAAGATCGTTCACAATACACTTACAAGGTAGCACAGGCCTGCTAAGACGGAATAAAATATTTAGGCTGCCGCATCTACGACGACTGTGTAATGGCGCTAATAGGTTTGTCAGTTGTCTTTCCTGGCTGGTGATTTTAAAAAAGCGCGTGTTAGCCGCACATTTGTGGCGAACCCACCTATCAGCTGTGATCTGCAAGCTGTGGCTGTGCTACGATGTTTTATGAATGCCCAGCTGGAAGACACGCTCGAAGAACCAAGCACGGCGACTCTGCACCGACTCAGCGGCGGCTCTTCGTACTTACTGGTCACCTCGAAGTCGGGAAAGTTCAAGCAAGTCGAGCTGCGAGGACACATCAGAGCTGTGAGTAAAGGAAAAGAAAAAAAGTTGTTGACATTGCTAAAGACTGCGATTTATTTCCCTGCGTCGGTCTAAGATAGTGCAAAGCCAAAATTGCAGTACATGCGTGTGAAACTCAGCTCTAAAGCGGCGTTTTTAACGCCATTTTTTCCCTTCATTCTTAGCAAATTAAACAAATAATGCAAATTCATTCTTAGCAATTCATTCTTAGCAAATTCAACAAATCTCTAACTGCTTAGCAGTGCTACTTTGTAAAGCGTGCTTTGCCACAATAAGTCTTTTACAAAGGAGAAGTTGACTTCACTCGTGAGGACATCCCGTCGATTTAGAAGCATTCGCTTGTAAAGTAGGTTTTACTGCAGTAATACCCATACTGAGGATAAGTACCTGATTTGAGCGAGAGCAGTTAACTGTAGGTGTGCATGTGGGCTGAATTTATTTATCCGCGTGATATTTATTGCCAGGATGAATTCTAAGCCCTGTAAGTACATAACATAAGAATAAACCGTTGTGCACTTTGTCAAACATTGTCTCAGACTGCCAGAACGAAGCGGACAGTATCGGAGTCAAGCTGCGAATGCTTCCTCAATAAATATTATTGCGATAGCAAATATATGGACAGTCTCGGTTGGTTTTTGTTTGCCACCATCGCTGCAGCCACCGCCGTCAGTGACGTATGCGTAAATATATATATATATATATATATATATATATATATATATATATATATATATATATATATATATATATATATATATATATATATATATCGATGGATGCGCTAGACTCCTTTTTGTGCAGAGTGAACATCGCCTCTCCGGCTGGGGTCACCTGCGCGCGCGCGCTTATCTCGTGACCGAACGATTGGGGAGGGGCCGCTTTTGGTTGCCGCGCTATCACGGCAACAATCAACGTGGGGTTCTCGCCTACACAGCACGTGGCAGATTCTACAGGCGGCACTCTCAGCATGAAAAAACGGAGGCAAAAGCGTACTTTGAGCGGCCGTCCGCATACAGATGCGCTCTACACATAACAAACTGCCACCAGCGCCGACACACGACGTATAGGCTTTAATACCCGTCTGCGGTGCCAACGGGAGGCATTTCTCAGCGACACCGTCTCTACGCACGAGCCTTTTTGTGGTCATCTACTGGGGACGCGACGTAAGAAACTTGGTTACTTAGCACGCGCAGGTTTACTACAATTGATATTGCTCCTGAAAATGCTAGCCTTGCTTCGTGAAAAAAAAATCGAACATCATGCTATCACATTCATTGCTTTATTCTATTGGCGAAAATGACTTTTTTCTGTCTGTCTGTCTGTCCGTCCGTCCGTCCGTCCGTGTGTCTGTCTGTGTGTCTGTCTGGTTGTCTGTCAGTCTGTATGTTTACCTGTAAATCGTTATGAAGTACTGTTTATTTTCTTTTCCTTCAACTAGATTCAAATTCCTGACAACTGCCTTCCCGGGATCGCCAAGAGTGCAGCCCAGGGCGGGTCCGGCAACACGGTGTTACCCGGCTATTCAAGTGACGCCGGAGGCGGCGGGGAAAACAACGAGATATACCGAATCGAGTCCAACCACAAGTGCTACTACGACGGTGAGGTGTTCGACGACGGGGCCCAGTGGACGGCGCGACACGAGGCTTGCGTCATGTGCTCCTGCCAGGCACGTCCTCCATTGTCATTGCGTCGGCGTGTGCCCCCGCTCAGTGTTTTCTTCTACGATCGATTCATATAAAGAAAGTGCGACCACAATTGTGCAAAATGACATTAATATGCGTTGTTTTTGTTTGCCGTAAAGGCGGTTATTGTGGTGTTACAAGCCCTAACGCGGTGGTCTAGTGGCTAAGGTACTCGGCTGCTGACCCGCAGGGCGCGGGTTCGAATCCCGGCTGCGGCGGCTGCATTTCCGATGGAGGCGGAAATGTTGTTGGCCCGTGTGCTCAGATTTGGGCGCACGTTAAAGAACCCCAGGTGGTCTAAATTTCCGGAGCCCTCCACTACGGCGTCTCTCATAATCATATAGTGGTTTTGGGACGTTAAACCCCACATATCAATCAATTGTGGTGTTACAAATGAAATTTCGCCGTTGCCGTGATGTTCCGTAAAAGTGCACACGCGATAAGATCCATCGCACCATTGGATTTGCTGTGTGATCGCGGCAAAACCTGCTAAGCGTTGCGTCGATATCATGTGGGCGGGCAGGGAGAGAAGGGGCTGTCAAATGTGAGTGCGCCGTACTGGAAAGAGATCGGATGATGTTAGCGTGCGGCTCTCTCTTTATTACATAGCGAACAGTTAGCCGTCCACAGCTTGCCAAAAATGCGAAGCGCGTACTGATTGTGCGTGAAAACGTCTGAACGCCATGCTTCGCCTATCGCTCCGACGTTAGAAGTTTTCTAGGTATTCGTGGGATCAACTTTGCGAGGTCAAGCGGCTACGTACTATCTGGCACAGTTTAATGTAAAGCGGAAAAACGTGTTTTTCGAAAATTCGGAGCAGCTGTAATCGTCAGCGTATGTGTGCTCCCACTGTACGGTGTTTTGGTAGCCTTGGCTTTATATCAGCTTCGGCATTCACCTATGGCAAGTTGTTGGTCGCATTTACCATTCATGTGGACTTCTGCTTCACTTAAAGTGATCTATTTTTTTAATCCTTTATGTTACTTGGGACGGAATGGAATCGAAAATAACTTCATTGTGTCCCGCGGAACGTGACCGGGTCACGCGCCCAGCTCAGTTTCAATCTTTTCTATTACCGTTGTGCTCGTATTCCATGTTTAGCGGGTCAAACAGCAGTTCAGTGGCTGATATTGCAAAGCTACGTCACGCACCCTCTGTACAGTATGCAGCCGACATACACAGCACAGACGCAAACATCCTAAATAGCATGACGTAGTTCAGTGAAACGCTCTCTGTTTTTCTTTTTGTTTTATTTTTGTCAGCTTCAAGCAAGAGATCTCCGACCATATGCCTCTCTGATTAAGCTCCAAGTTTTATTTTCTTCTTTTTTCGTCTCTCTCTCCCTCATCATGTGTAGAAGGTGACAAATAAATGTGTGCTTTATTGCATTTCACATCCTGCGGGCTGCTTTCACGCCGCCCGGTATGCTCATGCAAGTATTCCTCGCTTCTCAATGTTACAGAGAGGCCGTCTGGTATGTGACCCCGTCGTGTGCCCTGCCGTCCAGTGCCCTAATGCAGTGACGCTCCCAGGGGAATGCTGCCCAACGTGCCAAGGTTCTGATGCTTTCTTAGCGAAACCGTTTGTTGCCGAGAAATATAGCAAGCCTTCTGACAAACATATTTCGCAATAATGACACCGCTTCAAGAGCTAAACGTGTAAAACTAAATGGGAGGCGACCACACGCTTTAGTGAAGGTATGCCCGATATGTTAGCGTGCATATTTGAATAAAAACGTTACCTCACTGCCACGAGTTTCCAAAAAAATTAAGCTCTGCTTATTCACATGTGCGTGAATGCCTCGTAATGTACTTAATTTATCTCCTAAATGAAGATGTTTATTGTGATTTCATTTTTCCCTTCTATTGTTTTCTACCCCAACTTTCCGGCCCTTAGCTGATCTTCTAGTGCAAATGATCCGACCGGACCGTTTAACCTCGCTATTATCTCTGGATTTCACTTCTTTATATTTCTGAAACGACTCTATTTGTTCAGCTTTTGCATCTTGTCTGCTTTTAAGTTGTCGCCCATGGTGGACGTAACAGCGTCGTACACGTGAAAGCAGCGTGTGCGTGCTCTCTGCTGCAGACGAGTCGGGTGGTCTGAACGCGACTTTCGCGCCGGGTGAGGCCCACTCTCCGCACGGCTGCTTCCTGGAGGGAGACAAGAAGTTCCACCTGGCCGGCTCCAAGTGGCACCCGTACATCCCGCCCTTTGGCTTCAGCCGGTGTGCTGTCTGCACCTGCCAGGTAATGCGACGCAAGTCCCGTAGAAATAAACACTTCTTCTTCCTCGATGAGTTGCTCCTTTTGCTTCAATATGTCCACGTTAGAGCTATGTGGGGGTTCCACGGGGTTAACTCTCCTTCAAGTTTCCTTCAAGTTTAACATATGAAGACATAAAGTCCCATTCCGGAGTTTCTCGGGTGGCAATTTGTCGGAATTGTTACATGAACATAATTTTTGCGAGTTTTTTTTTTAGTTACGTGTGACTACAGTTTGCATTGAAGTAAACGAGCTATTCAGGCTATTGCTTGTCTCTGATGCATTTCTGAAATGTCTTGCAGCCAACGATATTGACAGTGGAGTGTCGGCGTATCACGTGCCCGCCACTAAGCTGCTCTGAAAAGGATGCTTATAGAGAGAATGCCCTATCGTGCTGCAAAAAGTGTCCCAGTAAGTGCTGATCGAATTTCGAAATTGCTTCTCTAAAGTAGAACTAGAAAGTTTTACGTATAGTGCAGTTTTATATTACTGATAGGTCGTGTTCGTTTGAAGTACAATAACATAACTTTTTTTTTGTTCAAACCACCACAACTTCAGATTGCTACTGCTGAATGCTATTATAGGTATTATTGTGTAATTCTTCATAAATCTACTGTTGTCATTTATTGTTGCCAGTTTTCTTGATTCAGTGAAATGGCTTAATATTTATTCTTTTTTGTTCAGCCTTGTTCAGAGATTTGGTGTTTTCGTTCTTGGAACAGATGTGATTCCTGTGAAGTCTCAAGAGGAAAGTGTACCAACACAGCTTCATGATCAAGGATCGAAAAAGACACCAAAAGACATTTTATCAAGTGGAGGTAATTCCTAAAAGCAGTTCTCAACAAAGCATTTTGTGTTACAGCCCATGAATTCGCCCACGTAATGCAGCAGTCGCACACAGTCATCTGTATCAAGTCAAACTTTCAGAATTGTCACATCCTCAGTATTTATTGTTGGACATTGCAGACTTGACATAATCTTAAAAATAGGTTTTTTATATGCATTTAAACATTAATGGTAAAAAGGCTGAAAATTCCTCTCCATAAAGAAAATTCACAGAAAAGGCGCAAAATCTTCTGATCTTGGACTCCATTTATTTTGGATGTTTAGATGTTTTGAGCATGGCACCACACTATCACCTAAGCACTTCCAGAGCCATATCGATCTGCCCACATGTAGGCCAAGTTGCACGAACACATTTTCCTAATAGGAAAACGAGTCAGTTACACTAGTAGAAGTGAGAACCATTTGAAAAATAGTGTCAATGTAATAGTACTCACTAGGAGATGAATTATCCTTTAATAAATATTAAGGTTAACCTTGCTCACATACCATATGGATAAATATTTGCTTTAATGTTGAAGAATTATCAGTAGCATTCTTGGCGCACATTTTTCGGGCAGATTCTGTTCTCGAACCTCATTGAGCTTTGCTGTTTTTCCCTGTAGGATGTCAGTTTCAGCTACAAGTATTCCATAATGGAGAAGAATGGCATCCAACAGTGCAGCCTTTCGGTGAAATGAAGTGCATTAGATGCCACTGTAAGGTAAGCTTCACTTTGCACCTTCTGCACCAGTGTGCTTCTTTCTTAAGGCGATGATATCACCTTCCAGAATTACATATAAACCCTGCACTATGCACTTTGAACAATTAACATTTCTCAGGCACTCTTTGATCGGTGTGCATGTATGGTTCACATTAATTGCCTCAAACACTAGATCAGCTGCATAGAAATTCAGAGAAACCTTAGTGTTATATCTTTATAGCAGCATATTATGTCCGCCGTAATGTGAGTTTTAGAATAGATTACCAAACCAGGAGCTCCGCGAAAGTGTTGACATAAGCAGACAAGCCAAACGCACCCAACTATTTAGTTGCACTTGTTGTTTAAGGGTATACGTCATACACAGCTCACTTCTTGACTACGGCTAATGCGACCTGCAACTAGCTGACTGCTGGCTTTTTTTTTCCTTTGGTACAGCTTTTTTTTTGAAATTTAGTGGTCACACCATTGCCGGTGCTGACCATTGTTGGCTGACTTATTTGGCATTGGAGTCCAGGTGCTTCTGAATCAGAATAACGTAGTGTCAAAAAATGAACTTGTTTTTTTCAACAGGACGGCAAATCTCGGTGCAGAAGGCAGCGGTGTGCCAAGCTGTCGTGTCCAATAAAGTTCCAGAAAGAAGACGAGTGTTGCCCACGCTGTGCTGACAATGGTAATGATTACCGAAATCACTCATTTGAAGCCTTACATAAAAAGAGTGTTAGTCGTATGACTCTACACGAGGTTACTGGTGGTGGGATCAAAAAACAACAGTGACGGAGTTGTTAATGCATGTTCTCTTGTGACAGTAATCGCGAGGTATAAAACGTGGACCATCTGCCCGAAAGGAACCATGTTGGGATGCGAAGCAGCAGCGTTGCGCATGGATGGCGCCACGGGTTGAACGGTGCTAACACGGGTGCTGCGGGAAGCGCTAGAGGCCGGCGCAGCCCAGCGCTTGCGCGCGAGCGCTTCGGTGGAGGGCGCGCGGCGCTTTTGAGACGCTGCCAACGGCAGCGCCGTCGAGTATTCGCCGGCATTGGCCTTCCACTGTCGGCGCTTCTGCTCGGCTTCCTTGGCTTACGTCTTCAATGTCACCGACGCGTTGAAGACGCTTGCGTTCGGCTTCCCTGGCTCACGCCTCATTCGTGTTGCAGGCGCGATGTCGATATTCACGAAAGCGATCGCCTCTGTCAACACTCGCAACGCCGGCAACGGCTGGCTTTGGCCAAATCGCTTCCGCGCATGTTTCGGCCCGCGAAGGAGCTTCGCTTTCGGGCGTCCTCTCTATTGCAGGTAAACAAGCGAAAAGACTGTTCACTCGATGTGCTCTCGAACGTTACGAGCGATGGAAAGGGTGAAGCGAGAGAGATGGCACGCGCCGAGTGGCGACAGGCTATGGAGGGTGACGTAAACGAGCGCACACTGCAAGGGAAGGCGAGACCTACTTGGCACAGCCCCAATACCTGCCGCCAGGGGAGCGCGGTGTGGACGAAGGGGAAGCGTTGCACAGGCTAGTCAAAGAGCTGCTTCGCATCTAAAAATAACTATTCGGCGTGTTCCTGTGCCTGACATACCATGTCAGTATAATCTAGTTTCCAGTTCTGCTACATGATTCGTGGCGGTGATGACAGTAGACAAAAGCCTGCTTCTTTTCTGGTTATTTCAATTTTTGTGTAGGCTGAAACCGAGAGAGGTGCAATAAACATTACTTGCATAAAAATGGTATAATAAAACGTTTTTCTTGTTTCCGAAATTCACACACATGTGTTGCTAAGTTTGTCGTGTTATAGGGGGAGCCACTAATTGAAGTATTGAATGACTAAGTTCTTATGTATCTCAAGGAGAGATGTCAATGCGAACCTATAGCCACATGACTCCCATTTGACAGTTTGTGTATCCTAGAATGGTGTGCATCAGTACAGTTGGACTTAACCTCATCTGACTTAGCTTCGTGTGACGGGCCAATGCAGCTTTTTCGTAAAGCGCGAGCTGCCATTGTCGACATCTCACCGGATAGTGAATGCGTTCGCAGGTGAGGGCCGAACCGGAGACAGACCTCCGCGGAGGACGGGACGCAAGCGCAAGACCCGAGGCGGGACGCCGTGGAACTGAGCCTGGAGGCCAATACGGGTGTCCCTCCCAACACGGACTGTCTCACCAAAACACCACCGGAACGCGCGAACACGAGCAGCTGAGCGAACAAAAGGTGGGAGAGAGCGAAAGAAACCAAGAGACGGGTGGTTGAAAAGCCTGGCAGCTGTACATTCCACCGAACGACTTCCGGCCGAATGGAAGAGTCCAACATCGTCGCCGAGGGTGAACTTCCCACCCACGTGAGGATGACGCCCGCTTCTGTCACCTCTCTTGATGGATCGCTGGCTCTCGCCACCCCCAGAAAACTTTATGCCGGAACATTGCGTGCCCGCTCCGGTTTCAATCGACTGCAAGGATCGACTCCGATTTGATACATACCCGCCCAGCGGGGTGGTGCGCCGTTTTCTTCTCGCCAGTCACAACCAACTACGTCATGCGTGGTAGTGAAGTGGGTGAAAGTGGTGTGATCCAAGGAACCAAATGTGAAGGGGTGAGGGGCATCGTCAGTCATATGTAGCTGCGCTGGTGGCTTGTTCTTCCTCTTGTGGTGCTGCGTGCCGAACTAAGCCTCCCTGGCTGCTTCGATGGACACACTGTTATTTTGTTTCGACACGAATGTCTCTAGCTACCACCATACCCTCCCTCTCACTCTCGTGCCAGTGTTACGAGACGTTGTCCAGTGCGTGATTGGCGGAGTAGAGGGGGAGTTACCACCGAGCGGAGTGCAGCGGAATACTCAAAAAATACCAGCTGCGAACTTTGACTAATCCAGCTTCTGTCGCCATCTAAGCAAGCCAAAGTTTCTTCCACGAGCTTCGTCCAACAATGTGAAAAAAAAAAAAGAAATGAAGAAGTGACACAGCGACGACGAAGCTCTTCTTCTTTGACTCTCTTGTTTCTGTGCAACTGTGTGCGGCTTCTTCGTGTATTGTAGAAAAAAGGTGCCCAGATTAATGGAAAAAAAAGTGTGGTGTGAAAGTTGTCATGGCGCTTGCAAGAGTATGGGAACGAGCACGTTGCTAATAGCCCGTTTTCATCAAGATCTTTTTAGTATATTTTTTCGGGCTCTAATAAAGGAGGACTTAATCGACATCACTCCAGCTTCTTGTTGAGGTAATATGTTTAAGTGATGTTCATTTATGAAACTGCTTATGCACTGTATTATTTATGCATTTCACATCTAAAGCCCTTCTAACGAGAATTTTTCGGTAGCACTTAGTGACAGATTGAAAAATGGTATTGCTGCTTTCCAGTTCCTTCTTACTCTGAATACTGATGCTCATACTTGTAAACTGCAATGCGGAAACTGCTTTAGACCAAAGACAAGATAAGGCAGCAGACTAGGCTGGGCTGGATTGGTCTCATATCTTATTCGTCTGCTGTTGTTTGCCTCCTATTCCAAATTTGAAAGACCAACCTTCGTAGTGTACCTTTCTTCTAAAGCAAGCTACCATTGCTGATGCTATCACTTTACCGGATCAGGCACGTTAGTAAAGTTTAGCGTCATGATCATAGTGACAAATAATAGTATCAATGCTATACTAATACTACACTAAAACATATCACTTTGTCTCTTATTATGGGTTGAAATAATTCAGGACGACAGTTTTTAACTGGGCTATTTGTAGTGCAGACGCGTTCGCCAAATGTACTTTCTAAGCAAACCTGTGACGAGCTCTGTTGTGGGTTGTTGTGGGTGGGGCCCACGGAATGGCTTTTTGCTCTCCCATGGTAGAGTACCAGGTACTCTTAATTGTTAACATCTTTTTCGAAACACACATCAATAATACATTGCTTAATGTGCAAACGTGTTATAGTGATGATATCACGTGACCTTTTAATATTATTATTTTTTGCAAAGCACCCAGCCAGCTTATGTCGTTGTGTACTGGGTGACCGGTTGCAGTAGCTGCGCCGCAACGATTGCTTAACAAGGAAGCCAAAACGGTAACCAAAATGATAATTTTTTAGCGTTGCTCAGTTTATATGTTAACACGGATGACGCCGTTTCGTCAAAATGAAATTGTCGTGTGAAAACAGTGATAGCATAATTAGTTCACTTTTGATCACTCTCTTCGGGTTAGCATAAAAGCAGAGACCTGTTTTCGCAAAGCACACTGGGTAGATAGCTGGGCAGAACGAAATGGCATTGGATCTTTTTACTGTATAAAGCACGAGTATATAAGTACTTACTGAAACGCTCAGTAGGTCATTTCAATTTTCCACGTGTTTTCCGCAAGACTCTTACGGAAATAAGTGGATTCCGTCGGAAACATGAAGTTACTGGAATGAGACTTCCCTATGAACCTACCTTATAGCTACTTCATTCACAGTAAGATGGCTTCACAGAAGACAAAGTTACCTTCACTGAACAGACAAGAACTAAGAACCAATCGTATACATTGCATTGTGGTGCCTTCTACAGTGTACCACACGTCAGTAGCGCCCTCTAGCGAAACTATGCAGCAGTGGTGGTGAATCATGGTGGGTCAACACGTATCAACGACCATTGGCTCGTTTTTTTTTTTTTTGCGAGAACATAGTCGCAACTGCAGCTATAGCTGAACTCAATAATCAGCTCAAGGAAAACCACCTATTGGGGCATTTTTTTAAGATCCTCGATATGTTGTATTCCGTGCGTGTTTGACATGGAATGATACTTGTGTAATTTTTTATGGTGTCTATTTTTCAATTCAAGCAGCCCCAACGTGCAGCTGAAGTTGTGTTCAGAGGAAGCCTTATGTCGGTCATTGTTTGTTTTTATTGAAACGTAAAAAGAGAAGCTAAATTTGCAAGAAACGCGTCCACGAATGAACGCGACTTACGAGACGGCAGTAAACGTAATGTCTTTCACTTACTGCAAAGAACAATGTTGCTGCCCGTATGTATTCTTGACAAAATGGATTCGCGAAAACATGCAGTCACTGGATCAACAGACATTTATCAAATAATGCTGATAGAAAAATAAAATGGCCAAAAGATAAAAGCAGGACGCCGACCCGAAAAATTGCCCCCACCTCCGCGGAGGGGATCGTGAGAGAATGCGAATGCATTTCTTGCGCCGAGAGTACACGGCGTAGTAATTTTAATGGTGTAAATTAAGGACGAGACCAACATTTGTACCGTAAACATTTCACTACACGTTCATCAGACAGTGAACGGTCGAAACTCGAGAGCGAGGCGCGCGCTTCACTACATTTATATATAGGTACTACGAGCGAGCAGGCAGGAGAGTGCGGAGCAGCAAGGAGAGAGAGCGAACGTCGAGAGAAAGAGTAGTGAAGCACGACCTACCCTCTCCTACACTTTCTCATACGGGGGAGCTCCGCCAGGCTCCTACGACACGAGAGGCCTCACACGCTAGAGCGCGCTCCTCCTCTCCACTCGCTCTCCGATACTCCGCCCACACCACCAGCCCTGGTGGCGAGGGGCGAGAGAAAGCACACACGCCCACAGCCAACGTTACTAGAACCAGGTTCTAGTAACGTTGCCCACAGCTGTTGCTATCGGAGAGGCAGTGAGAGCGGCGAGATAACACCTGCCGACCCGTGGACACCAACCAACAGACGCCTGACATGACCCGACTAAGAAATGCATTCGCATTTAAAACACTAAAAAAGTGGCACACACGTGTCGACCTCCGTGCGAAACATCATTATTTCCGACCGCGCGAGCTTTCGTCCAACTCTTGCGTTCAGAAAAAGAAAATGTTGCACCCGATTGCGGCTTTCTCTGATCACGCGGCATTTCTCAAATAGTGACGCGTATGTAAGCGTTTTATTATAGACACTATTTACGCAATGCGTACACTTAACTACGTACATTTTATGCAAACATGAATCCGGCGCGGGGATATTTGACCTTGGGCATCCGGCACATAGAGTGCATCATCTCAGCTTTAATAATTTTGTTATCCATGAGCGAGTCCCTGTTTGTTTTACGCTGATTATTCTCACAAAGGCGTAGGGAGTGGGCGCGCATGTTGCCTCATTTGTTATTTATTATGTTACTCCCATTCGCCTTTGGCGATTTAAAGAAACGGGCCCTGCTGTGGGTCTGATTCTGCGTTACATCTCTTTTCAACTTCTTTATTTTTTTTGTTTTACCTTCCCATTTTTTATTGTAAACGCCTTCACGTGCACTAAGCTTGATTTCACCCCCGAAACAACGGAAAATGTGGGATGAAAATCCGAGAAACATTATTCCGAGTAAAACATTCAATTATTCGTTTATGCTTCTCTCACTTCTAAACAAAAATGACCGGCGAAAAAGGTTTTGGTCTAATTTTCTCACAGAATAACCAAAATATTTAGTGTCGCAAGTAATCCCTTATGCATAACATTATGATTAAAATTGAAAGATAAGGTTATGTAAGCAGCAGGATATATCTGTCGTGGCTCGTTATTGGCGTTTACTAGAATATTAAAACTTGAAGAAATTAGTATAACATCGCGTTTCATCTGAATGTGTAATGGAAAATTATGAAGCTAAGATTTATTATCGCTGATGCATAATACAAGCTACTCTCTCTACTTATCTGCAAATAAATACATTTCTAACACGCTTAACCATCTTCACCCATACTTCGTCACTTAGGATGTACGGCAAGACCCATTTTGTCCTGAAGTCTGCGTAAGTGCAGTTGGTTGTTTGCCTTTCACGTTCGGAACTTCCAAGTGTATAGAGGCAAGGGTACGCAGTGTATTAAGATGTCATCCTTAATACGTCACCCCTGCTTAGTGACTGGGGTTGCAGAAAGATATTGTGAACAAAAAAAAAAAAAACATACAGTGTCAGTCTGCTGCCATGAATGTGCCAATTTTGTAGAATCAGTGAGAGAATGGTTAGGTTGTGTTGAAATTCAGCACAGTGTTTTAGAGCTCAGCAGATTGCTTTTTTTGTTTTTGTTTCTGAACGCTGGCCTGGTCTATTCTTTTCCGCTGTCGCGTCCCTGCTAATTCTGCAGCGCTCATTTTGGCGAACGCCAATTGAAAGACGCAACTGGACCATAAGCCTAAGGAAGGTCAGAAGCGTTAAAAAATTATAAATAACGCGCTAATGAACAACAGCTTGTGAAATATCAATTCATCTTGCCAGTATGCTCATCTATATAAAAACAGTGCTTTGAACAATGCTTTTGATTTTCGCGCGCCTTATTTATAATGTATGTGATGTTCAGTGTTGTTCTTAAACGCGCCTCTTTTTCAATAAGTATGGAGTATGAGCTGTATTGTTTTAACTGAATGCCCGTCTTGTAGAATCTTCGTCGACTGCTTGCATCGGTCACCGTGTTTTCTTTGTACTGTTTTCTGGATCGCTTTTAGAGAACGGGTGCCCGTGATTGCACATCCGACACGGTTTTCGGATGAAGAAGAGACGAAAAAAAAATGGCAGTGAGTAAAGAGGAAGAGAACTAAAGATTATTATTGAGAATAAAATAAAGTAACTATTGTTTGTCTCTGTGTGCGTATCATTTGCGCTCTGGCTAATGCCAAGTGTCTCGATGAGAACTGTTCTCCACCAGTGGTGCTGTCAGTCTTCGCTTCGATGGCGCTCGAGATGACATTCACTAGAAACCGCGCATTCCAGCTTGCTCCCAGTCAATCGATAAACAACATTAGCTTGGAATGTTTACTGTCCGTTTCGCAGCCACTTCGCGGAGGACCAAGGCTGGTGAGAATCGCTTGCGCTCTTTAAGCACGACTTTCACGGGTTCAGTATCACATCGGCGCAGCAGCTCAGGAGTCACATGAAAAGCAGTCTGGGTGATTGGAGCTTAGAACACAGAGTGATCTCCTTGTTTTTATATTAATAAAGTTGAAACATCGACAGATCGAGGTGGTTCTCTGAGACAGTTGACTCGCGTAGAGTATAGCCAGAAAATGTTGGAATCAAGATTGGCTCCAAAGCGTCGGTGTTTTTTTGTTGTTGTACGAAATGGGTTGAACATTAATGATTATCATTGTGTGCATGCCCTGTAATCGACATTGGTTTCAAGGCTGACTAACGCACATGTGTCTGTTGAAACGCTTAAGTTTTGACTTTTAAGCAAGGCCCAAACATCGGCGTTGCCGCCTTTCGTAATCACGTGCGAATTCGCGGCTGAGAGGTGTGAGCTCAGAAAAAAGGGGACAAATTAGAGCACCATGTTTTTTTCTAATATAAAAATTCCGAGATCTCAACAGAACAGTGCGCTTGCTCGCGTGTTTAGGAAGATGTGGGACATGACTATTCTCGGTATAACCTGCTCAAGCACGGGAGAGCTACGTGGGGATGTCCCTTGAGAATTTTATTTCCGGATATATCATACACAGCTTATGTGCACAAATAAAAATGGACAATGGTGAACAATGCGTATGTACAATGCAAGCTGTTATATGCAGCGAAAAGAACTTATAGTGTTTGCAGTGACGTACAATGCAAAAATCGTACAACAAAGACAGGACATTCTTGCCATCGAGATGAATAAACTTAAATAAACAGTAAGGCTATACCCCATTGCTTACATCAAGTATTACCATTCTAGATTTTGATGTTTGGCGTTTAGTCTGAGTATACCTAAGGTACTCTCTGAAACAACCGCTGTTGTGACTGCTCTTCAGCGCAGACTTTTCACTAATTGTTTTATGAAACAAACAAAAAGATAAAAGAAAAAAGAAAGATCAGAGTAGGTTTGTCAGTAGCGATTATTCTTTAAAACTATGAAATCAATATCATCGTCTGAAACGACCAATGTAGAAAAAGACGAAGAAGAAAAAAAACAAATATCGCCTTCGAACACTGCGACCGAAAAAAATCTGCTGCTAAATTCAGCGCGATTTACATATTTCAATACCAGTTGTTGATACTTCAAATCAGCAATAATTTCAGGTATATAACTGGTGGACGTAATAATTCCATTACACAGAAATTCTAGGATTTAAATATGTTTTCCCTAATCCTTGACAATCCTTAAGGGTGGGTGGAAACCCGAAGTCGGAATTTACATGTGTAAGGAACACCATGTGTTTTTCTACCGTTTCTTCTCTAGCTGCAAACGACCACGTGGCGGACCTGTAAGCTACACCCCGCTGTCCCCTGGCTCTGCTGACCTACGTTGCCTCGTAACAAGTGCATTCTTGCTCACGAGACTGTGGCGCACGCGACCTCTTTTCATTGTGACCATGAACCATTCTTTGCGTGCCACGATCCATCATTCCTGTCCTGGCTTGTCACTGTATATAGAAGCCTTCACTCATTTTTTATACTTTTTTCAGTGCTTATTCACTATTTACTTGGTCTATTATGTGCTCTCTACCTTCATGTTCTTTCCTTCTTTTTCTATTGACACCGCTACAGAGTTTAGAAAGTGAAAGAAAGGATAGTTATCCACGGATGGCTCCCCCAATTTCTCTCTTTCTTGACGTATTTGCGTTCACCTGTCGATGAATGACAGGGTCACAATGTAGAGCTGCTTTCCATCGCTATTCCACGTAGCCGGCCCCACCGTTGTTTTCGAGCTTGTCAGCAGAGTCCCTGTCCCACTAGAGCTGATCTATCATCCATCCTCTATTCTCATCATCCTCCGTCTATCCATCCATCTATCTAACCGTCTATCCATCCATCTATCTAACCGTCTATCTGTCCGTCTATCCGTCTATCCGCCTATCCGTCTGTCTATCTATCCGTCTGTCTATCTATCCGCCTATCCGTCCGTCTATCCTTCCGTCTATCTATCTATCCGCCTATCCGTCCGTCTATCTATCTATCCGCCTATCCGTCCGTCTATCCTTCCGGCTATCTATCTATCCGCCTATCCGTCCGTCTCCCGTTCGTCCTATCCGTCGTCTATCTTCTGTCCCGCTAATCCGTCCATCTATCCGGCCGTCTATCTGTCTGTCCCGTCTATCCGTCCATCTATTCCGTCCGTCCGTCCGTCTACTATCCGTCCATCTATCCGTTCCGTACCGTCCCGTCTATCCTATCTAATCTATCTATCTATCTATCTATCTATCTATCTATCTATCATCTATCTATCGTATCTATCTATCGATCTACGTTTATTCATCCGTCTGTCTGTCTCTCTGTCTGTCCCTGTCTGACCGTCTGTCTATATATCGACGTACGCAGCTGACCGTTGCGAGTGTCGTTAAACCTTTTCCACCATTCATGTTTCGCAAATACTTGAATACAGTGGCTAGTGTTATTATTGCGGGTATGCAACACAGGTTATGCCCACCATATAAACCCTGGGACAGCAATAAAATGCTCAAAATACTAAGGCGATAAGGTAAAGAGTCCGTGTCGCAGGAAAGACGCTGATAGTGATGGCGGCGTGTTCGGCGAACACAAAATTCTGATGGAAACAAAGAGTGAAAATCGCAGCTCACGCCAGGATTGAACCTTGACATTCCGAATGGCAGTGAGGTATTGTACTCTATAGCCGCACCACTGCTTCAAAGTATTTCGAAAAAAAAAAAGATCGTAAGCAAGCATTATGACAGGGCAGCGGCCACTGTTTGTAGATTTGGGCGATCCGCTTACAGAATGTGTTTCAGCTAAAAAGCACTAAGTATTAAAAATAAATAATGAGCACTACGCGTCTTCAATCAGCACAGTATCGTTATGAGCCATTTAAAGCCCGTCGGGATATTTTCAACAAGATAGTGTTTTGCCAGGGTCCACCACGGCTCGACTGACGTAATTCCATCACGGATATGACGTGATAAAATGTATACTAACAAATTTCAAAGAAAAATATTGGCCCCGTATCTGCATATTTAATTGCAAATGTCGTCGAAAGACGATAGTCTTGCGTCTGGCGAGAGCAAACAAAATGTTTATTTTATGTTCTGTGCGTGAAAATCGGTAAATTCTGGAGGCACTGCGTTAGAGAAACTTGATGCGTGCAGCGAAGGCACGTTAGACACGAGCGCTATCTGGCAGTTAACTTCGAAAACGAAGGAAGGCATATGCGCCTGTCTTGGAGGTGATAAGGTGTAGAACGCAAAGCGATGGGCAGGTGCCACCACCGTGTCGTCTTAGCAAAGCGTTGGACACACTCGCCTTTCTGAGCACCGCGTGGCATTGTCAGCGCAGCGTGATAAACGCTATGTTCCTTAGAATTACTTTTGTATGCCTTCTCTAGTACAAAAAAATTGCCCGCAGCTTCCCTCGGGGGAACACTGAGGAGGATGCGGAGGCTATAATTTGGTTAACGGGCTGTTAACATGTGCACTTACTTGGGTGCTCGATGGGCTAAATGGGTTCACGGGGTTTGTGAAATGGGGTGTTAAATTGCAACTTACTTGGGTCGGGGCTAGTGGTAACGTGGGTTGTAGGAGGGGGTGTTTAAAATGAACGTGAACCACTTAAACACGTATGCGAAAGGGCGGCGCGGCGAAGGGACTCGATCATTGGTTTTTGGATTCGTTGGGAATTCATTCACGGCGACCTTGGATGTTCGACGCGCATACAAACAACGGACGAACTGCAACTGAGCGAGCGAGCGCCGACCTTGAGTATATATACAGCGCGACGGCGCATGCACGTCAGTTGTCGAATGTTCAGAAGGGCGGAGAAGCGAAGGCCGCATGCGCGCGCGTCAGCTGCCGTGTTCTCGAAGCGCGACGGAGCATGCGCGCGCGTCAGCTGCAGATGTTCTCGAAGCGGATGGCGCATGCGCGCTACATATCAAAGCTAGCGATGTTTCGTGAAGAGGAGAAGCTCACTCGGTAGTGCTGAGAGAGGAAGGGTGGGTGCACAGGTGGTGGAGGAGTGCAGCGCGCGTGGTGTTGCTGTAAGAGGAAAGGGATGCACAGATTGTGGAAAAAGGAGGAGGAAGCTTGCGGACGGCGCCGCCACTACAAGCCCGAGTATTAGTGTCGCATCCTAAAAACACAAACACAAAATATTGACGCGTTGTAATGGTGACCGCAGTGATGCGCAAAAAATTGAATTGATTTGAATGTGGGGTTTAAGTCCCAAAAAAATATATGATTATGAGAGACGCCGATTGGAGGGTCTGCGGAAATTTCGACAACTGGGGTTCTTTTAACGGCACCCAAATCTGAGCACACGGGCCTACAACATTTCCGCCTCCATCGGAAATGCAGGTGCCGCAGCCGGGATTCGAACCCGCGACCTTCGGGTCAGTAGCCGAGTACCTTAGCCACTAGACCACCGCGGCGGGGCGAAACCAGCAACCTCCCGCTGCGTACGCCGCAATTGCGTACGCCGCAATTTTCCTTTCAGTTACAGTGGTTAAAGAGAGCACGGAGGCGACTAAGCTCACTTCCGTGGCCGCTCTTACGAAAGGAGCATGCTACCCGCACACGAAGAATTAAGAACTGTGACAGTTCGCGCTCATCATACGTATACTTGTGTGTTTGTTTCATGAGGTCTTGCTTTCTGTTTGAGCATCGTGCTTTAAGGGTCGAGCTGTGATTTGTTTGCCGGCGGTCGTCCTCTGTATATT